AATAAATGAAAAAAATGAAGAGAAGATAAAAGTAGAAGTGATCTATGACAAAACTATAGGTAGGGAGAGGTAAAGAGCTGGATAAGTAGACAAAGCAAATATGAAAACATGTTAACGAATAAGCAAAAGAATTAATAAAACAGTGTAAATAAGAATCCAATAACTTCGCCGAGGAGAACATGATACATGATAAAAGTAAAATACCTGAGTATCCTAACTTAATAATAAAGAACTGAAGGTGGTTTAAGAAAAAACTTGCCATATCTTGAATCGAATGCCTGCCTTGCAATTAATCGGCGCGAGTACAGGTGGGGTAAGGGATAATGTTTCGGCTTCTGGATCGGCGTATACTGTGATCAACTCCTCCTCAGATAGATTAATAGACTTGAAGGAGGTTGAAACTACAGTCTATTTCTAGATGAGAACCCACTTTGGGGATAAATGGTCCCGTGAGTGCTCAGCAAGGTCACAACTCTTTTACTTTCATTGTAGGCATATTAATTTCCTGTCCAAAGTAACAATCAACCAACAATAATCCTTCAAATGTTAAAGGGACTTGCTGACAGCTTTCATATCATTATTGTGATAAAAAGCCAAAGGATAGATCTCTAGGTGAGATTTTTCAAGCGGCTAATATTCCTACTTAGCTCTAACACCTTTTGGCAAAAGGTTAATGAGTCAGCTAATCAGCAAACCTCTACGAGAAGAGAGAAATATTAAAGTATACATATAAACAATTTAAATTTTATGGAATTTAACTTTAATAGACGAACGGAGAACCCAAGTCTCTGAGAGAACCAGACAAGTATACATAGGGCCATAACATATAGACTAATAGATAGATTAAACAAATTTTTAAAGTTATTTTATCCATGCGATAGACAAGATGAAAGGTCGGTGATTTTGTACCTTGTAAATAGTAAAGGCAAATCGTTTAAGGAACAATGCTCGCAGGAATTAACTCAAAATACCGAGGTCAATATTGAGAAAATGGAATATTCACGTGACCACGAAGGAAAAAACAAAATTCTTTACGAGTCTGCCAACGCAGCACGAGAAGGTGGGCAAATAGGATTCCTAGGAGTTTACTGCATAGCATGCGGAGCGTACAAACAGAAATATATTGGAGAAACAGGGAGAAAAATCAGCATACGAATCAAGGAATAGCATAGGCTATGCAAGAAAATGGATACCGAAAGAACAGAATTGGCGGAACACACTGGACAGACTGGACACGAGATCAATTGGAAGGCAACTGTAAGAAGGGCCCCATGCTGTAAAAACACAAGAAGGAAGATTATGAAAAGCATAGAGATCCTTGGGGGGAGGGAATCTAATGAACAGAAGATTGGAGGAAGATTGAGTAAGCAATAACTTTGCTTACTGCGTAAACAAACTAGGGGAAAACAGGGATACGACAAAACCAGCAAAAATGAGACACCTGGATCAAAACATATGGTTAACCAAAGAAAAAAGGATCGCGAAAAGGGGATGGGGTAATTTTGGAAATCAAGCAAAGATGTTTTAGTGAATGAAGCCTGCTCGAAGAGACCGCTTAAACTTTGGGGGCCAAGCGGTCACGTGATTTGAGAGACGGATAATCAGAACTGTCTGTATTATGGCCAAAATATACTAGATATCTATTCTAAATGCACCAGGCGACCAAGGATAGGCGTCCAAACATTGCTCAAGTTACACAGGTCTATTTTTCCTATTTAAGTGGAGTTTAGAGACTACCAGTATGTCAGTAATATAAGATGTATTCACCTAATTTCGTTTAGGGAGATAAAGGACTGGTAGTTGAATTTTACCACAATGATATGAGTAGAGCTGACGTTTCCATTGAATTGCACATTTGCCCTGTGACACAAGGGCATTCGTGGCAATGTGGTCAAGTGGTTAACGTGTCAAACTCCCATTCTGCACTGTCACGGTTCGACTCCTGCTGGGGGTGCTGATAAGACCGATGCGAGGTCGAAACTGCAGTCCACCCAGGATTAGAACAACTTTTTGGAAAGCAAGGCTAAGTGAAATTCAATGGAAACGTCAGTTCTACTCATATCATTGTGGGAAAATTCTACTGCCAGTCCTTCATCACCTTAAACAAAATTGGGTGAATACATATCATATTACACAGGTCTAATCACGGGGACTCGTGAAGGCAATGCCTAATATCTGCGAGCATGGAAATTAGAACCTAGGGGCTCTGTTCAGTGAGGTAAGTGTACGTGCTTCTAAAGGCTTGAGAAATAGCGCCTGGAGTAAAAAAAACACTAAAACTGGAACCGAGTGAAATCGGTCAACCAGAAAGATACGAAACGGATCTAGGGGACCATGAGGGAGATCCGGGATAGGGTCAAGTCGGATTCGCCGATCGAAAGGAGAGGGGCAATGTGAACAGCAGATGCGGTCACGCCACGCTAAGCTTGCCAAAAAAGGACACAACTTTTGAGGAATGGAATGCAAGCATGTAAGAAGTAGTGATACGGTGGGAGTTTGATAAGACGATAAAGAGTAACAGATGGGCCAGGACAAAAAGATAAGTTAATCATATCCGTTTTATAAAAGTATATTTATCACGTAAGGAGTTCCTAAGTTCTGAATTATTGATAGACCGAATTTGCCACGAGTGATGGTTTATGCACAATAATGTAAGAGATTAAGAATTCACACAAAGGTTAGATTAATAAAAACGCATAAAAACACTGCAAAAATACGATATCCTGAAAAGTCTAAAGAAGAATAAATGAGATCAGTAGAGTAATTGAGCTAGAGAATAAGAAAAGTCTGGAGAACATAGAAAGGAAACATTACCGCGACTATAAATATAGAAAGAAATTATAGATAAGGGGCTTTCTAATTATCATTAGGCTAGCTTAGTCTGAGCCCGTATGTTAGTTGTGAGTGGTGAATCAAGAAGCAAACTATATTTTTTATTCAGAAGAATGTAAGCTACATAAATTTACTGAAAAAGTCAGGTCCTCTATTCCATTCATCAGGATAAATCAAGCTTAGACAGAAGAGCGGCTCACGATGCTCGTGCATTTTAATTGAAGAATAGGAACAAAAAATGTAAAAAGGTAAGTAAACCTGTAAATAAAACGCAGACGACGTAATCGTAATTAAATACGGCCAGCAAGTATGGAGGACTCCATAAGAATCTTGGTGATATCAGGCCATATGAATTGGTGCCACTCCGTGAGGAAGTTAACTTCGGGCCATAGTATACGGCATAAATCCAGTTGTGAGAGATATGATTCCCGACACAGCCTACCATCCCGATGAATCCGTACTGATCTCTGGTAAGCAATTTGAAAAAGATCCTCCCAGCTAAAGACCATCTCAAAACAGTGATATCCTAGCCCTTAGTGCAGGGCCCAACTTAGCAAAAAGGAGGCTTGCAAGTGCTGCAAAGCAGCTAAACTGATTATTAAAGACACTTTCTCCACAAAAATTTAAAGGAAATATTGCTCGAAACCTCACCTCGGTGCACCAGGTCTTATGGCGAGTGGTCCCTGGCAATTCGCAAGGCGTGGAACGTGGTCGTCCACGTTTACGGCGTCTAGTGTTGCAAGGTGAGCGTCCGGATCGGAAATTCAGGGTAGTGTGGTGATCTTCAGTTTCGTCTTCACCATTACAAACTTCTTCTTCCTCTACTTCTCCTTCCTCTTCTCCAGCCAACTCTGCATCATCTTCAGAGGCCTTAGTACCAGATTTGCGAGGTTGCTCGAGCCGATGCCTCTTGTTTGACAGACAAGAGCCAGTATTTGCTATCGTAGTCGGCAAAGTAATCTCACTCTCTGAACTTGATTCGCCCTGCCCAGACGCATCTCCTACGCCACGGTTACCTTGGCTGTTACCGATCAGGACATCCGGAGAACGACGTTTCCTCGCCCTCGCAGTTTGAGTTGAACCAGTAGCACGACTAGACGAAGAAGTCTGTGGTCTAAAGACGGCATTCGATGAAGAATGCGTAGGCGATGTAGTAATCGCTGTCGTTAAATTAACAGGCTGAGCAGAAGAAATTGCAGGAGGCTGTTGGCCAGTTAAATTTGGTAAGGAAACACCTAGCTGAGAAAGATAGGCAGCAATTTCGACATCAATGCGATCGAAAGCTGATTGATCAATGGCAAAATGAGGATGGATATGAACCTTTCAATGTAAAAAATAAGCAGAACAAAGAATTGTGATAAAATTTTGTGTTAAATAATACAAGATTAAACCAAAAATCTGTTCGCTAATATACTATGCAAATCATGAATACACTTAAAGTGAATCGATAAAGGAGATAAATAGATTGATTCATCCAGGACAAATTCATGTTAGAATCCAAAACTTGATGGTAAAAAGGCAAACGATTTGGCCATGATTGTAAATTTATGATTAATTTTCCTAACCTCGTCTACAAATAATTGGGAAAAATTGAAAATAATGGAGATATGAAAGCCTTGGATACTTAATGGTCATGTTAGCACAGATATAAGAAAATCATTTGCGATTATTAAAATGCCCGTTTCATCGGGAGGTTCAAATACCAATTTAAAATAGCGAAACTTGGAAAATAAAGACAGTAAAAAAATCCATAATAAATTAAGACTAGTCAGACTTAATTTCTTATAAAGTTTTCGTAGAATATTGTTGCACCGCGCACTTGTGCCGTATAAAAAAATCAATTAATTTTCGTAATAAATTATCATTTAAACATGAAGGACTCTACAGACATACTCCAGAGATAAACGATAAAGGTAAGTTCTCGCACATAAC